TCCACTAAACCTTACGCTAAACCATATCACCCAAGGCCTCCTCCAGCCTGTCCGTGAACACTGCCAGAGATGGGGCATTCACAGCTTCCTTCGGCAACCCATTCCAGTGCCTCACCACCCTAACAGGAAAGAATTTCTTCCTTATATCCAATCTAAACTTCCCCTGTTTAAGTTTGAACCCATTAATATGTTAATAGAGATGGCTGTGAGGCTACATGGAAAGAGACAGATAAATTGTGCGTAGTTCCTTTAATAAAAGGGTATTTTTAAACTATAATAAAGATTCATGTCTTTAGATTAACGGCAACGCTCTTTTGCAACCGCTTCTAGTACATGATATGGTGTAGTAATTGCAGCATATTTGTGACATACAAGTGCATCCACAAATACTGTTCCTGCTGTCATAACTGAAAAGTGATTTGCACCACAACTATAATTCAAGACATTTGCCTGACACTCTGCCCAGACCAATGCACTCTTTTTTTTTTTTTTTAATGCTCTTCAGTAATATTGTTGGAAGTAGTTTGCATATCTCTTTGTGGCACTTTCTTATTCTGTCTGCAATAGTTTTAGGTGATTAATAATACTTGTTTTGAAGTTGTGATTAATTAATTTTACAATAATAACAGGTAAGTTAACAAATAATAGAATAAAAGATTAAAGAAGAGTTCCCTATTTTTCTCATTAGGCTCTTGAGAAATTACTTAATTGAAATTGGTTATTGAATTATGCATAAGAAGTACATTCTTGATCACTCTTTAATGGTGCAGAATAGCCTTGAGTAAAGAAAACTGCAGAAAGATAAAAGTATTCTATTGTTGTAGGTAACATTTGTGTATGAAAAACAAAGAAAGAAAATTACATTTACCCAATCCAAAACCAAAATACATATCGTGCTTGACTTTCTACATATAAATATGATCTGTGTTCTAATTTTTATTTAATCCTGGGTAAGGACAACTGACTTGGTAAATGTCATCACAGTAGTATGGAGGAAGGTCTTGCACACATTCATGCTTTTCAAAGCTCTTTAATTGCTAAGGCACTAACTTTCAACAGCTGTATGCTGCTGATGTTCATCTTGGTTTTGGACTACAGGAAAAAATATCAGGAACACGTCTCTGGATATTATTTATAATATTCTGATTTAATTACCCAGTTATGAACGCTCCTTTTCTGAAATAGATGCAGAATACTCAAAAACCTAAATGAAAATATTCTTTTTATTAATAACATAGAACCTTCAGTCTTGCCAAATTATGTCACTTAAAATGCTAAAGATACAAGATGTTTTCATTATTGAGAATAGCAGCCCTACAGATGGGGAAATGCTGTTGCTTGTAAAAATTAATAAAACATAACTTTTAAACTTTTTAACTGTGTTTGTAGTGATTACATTTTTTGTGTCAGTTCCTGTTGCTGTTTGAACATAGAGTACCTGCAGTACTGTTAATCCTAGTAAAAGAAATAGCTAGTTCTACTTCAACAACAGCAATTATGAGTTTTCATTCATAGTGAAAAATTGGAAATACTTGTTTTTTTCCAGAATGGGATAAGTGGTGTTTATAATACAAATTTAGACATCTTTCCTGCTTAAGTATGTTCTGATTCTTATTCTTAGGTTAATCGAGGGGGGGAAGGAAAAGATTATTTCTAAGGCTGTACTTATTAATAGCAGTCACATTCTAAGGATGCAGAGTAGCATCTCATCCTGAAGTCTTCCCCACATGATAATGGAAGATGTATATACTTCTTGTACACTTAACAGCAGTATTTTTCAAACTTTTTTTGAAAAAAAAACCAAAAAACACCCCAAAATCCACAACCAAAAAAAAAACCCTCTTTTATTTTCTAATTGATATCTGAGGAAAACAAACTGAGATATCTGAGCATATGATGATTATTCAAGAAATATATTTTTCCTAAAAATGTGAAACTTTGAATTTTTTATTATAGTGCAGGTCCTTTCACATTTTTCATCAGAAATATATGTAGATATTACTTGATTTCTTTTATAGGAATGTGTTGATTAGTACTGATTCACTCAAAGCCAGGTTTTTGTGTTTGATTAAGATGATGAAATAAAAAGTTTTGCCAAGTCTTTAGCTTCTTTGCACCCACATATACATATCTTTCTAATGAGTGCATTAGCGAATAAATCTAAAATTCACAGCAGCATCACACTTGTATGCAGTTAATGAGATGTTTGGCAAGGTCTGCTGCAGAGATGAGATTAAAAATATGACATTTTTCCCTTATCTGCTTCTTCATGCTTCATAGGTACCTTCTACTTTCAAATTGTTTTCTATTTATTTTCTTCATTTAAGGCTCTATATCTAGGGTTCAGGTACAGTAAAGAATGGCCTTCTATCCTTATATTTTTCAAATGCATTGCGATGTTTATTGCTTCACTTGTGTGAAACTGTGCATAGCAACAGGTAAGATTAAAAAACAGTTTCATCAACAAAGAAGGAGTGTTTATGTGTTTTTTGAGAATACTTAAGGAAGACCAATTTCAAGATGTACAATTCTAGTGCTTCAGACCCCTCTCTATTTTCTAATTAAATTAATAGAAATGTTTGGATTTATTGCTGTTTATGCTTGAAGTGCTTTATTGTTTTTTGGCTTGAACAGTATTGAGATTTATTTTCTTATACTTGCTAAGGAAATTGCATCAATATAGTAAATATTGCTCACTTCTGTATTTTGAAAAAGACTTGCTCTGTTTAATTTGTCTCAGAGGAGAAAGTTAATCTTCCTTATTGGCTCAGTAATCCTAAAAAGGATCAGGTCTCTTCCTTCATGACCCCCAAAGTGTTGGATCTTGATATTTTAAAATTCAAAATTTGGCTTTCATGTTCTGTTAATGTTTTTTGGTGGATCTTGGAAAAAGCAAGCCAGGCATACTGCCAAGGCTCATATGTACTTAAAGTGAAGGGAGTCTATCCCACATTAATCAGGGGTGCAAAAGTTCAGGTGACCTCTGACTCCATGTATCAGAACATATGTTCTAGATTACTGATGCTGTTTGAAGTCTTTATCATATTTTCTCAATACAATTTTCTTACAAGAATAATGATCACAGCCTCATTCTCTTGAAAAGCATAGGAATATTCTTAGTATGAACTTACTAAGAATTGTTGACATACCTGGAAACTTCTGGGAAGACAATTCCGCTCCCTATGTGAAGGTCATGTGTTAGCAAGCTTGCATGTTGGCATCATCTATTTTGTAATTATTACAGTGATAGGCCAAACATCAAGGTCATGTTCAAACAAGACTGAAAAGGAAGAATATATTTGCAAGCAAAAATATAAAAATAGCTGACTATTCCACTTCTCTTTCTTTCAATAAAAAATTAAATTGCTTACCAAATCTAGCACCATACACGTGCCAGGTTCCTTGCTACCTTTCCCTAATAATATTGCATAGTACTTCCCCTAGTAGGTTGCTATTATCAGGAAGAGTTGAAAAGTTGCAATCCGGTAGCTTATTTAGTACAATAAATATGGGTTTTTCTTTGTTTGGGTTTTTTGTTTGTTTGGGTTTTTTGTTTGTTTTTATTCTCTTACAAAGTTGACAATATACTACATCAAAGTTTATAAAACCTGTCATCTGCATAGTTTGGTCAATACAATTTCACAAGGTAACTTCCCAAATTTACAGTATAAGATTTTTTATTAAATTTTAATACATCTTTAACAACTGTGTAAAATCAAGATTCCTTCAAGAACTGTCATTTACTATGGAATGTAACAGAATAGAGCCTGAGCTTTTGTTATAGCTTTACTTTTCATCTATTCTGCATTATTTTTTATGTCTTTTTTCTTGAAGAGTATGGTTTTCCTTTCCAAAAAGTAGTCAGGAGAAAAAAAACTGGAAAAGAGGGTTTGAGAATTTTAAGACCTCCGTGACAAAGAATTCATCATAGTAAGTATCTAAAGGGAAGGTGTAAAGAGGATAGGGCCGGACTCTTCTCAGTGGTGCCAGGTGATAGGATGAGAGACAATGGGCATAAACTAAAACACAGGAAGTTCCAGTTGAACATAAGGAAAAACTCATCTACTGTGAGGGTGACTGAGCATTGGAACATATTGCCCAGAGAGCTTCGGGAGCCTCCTTCCCTGGAGAGAGTCATGAGCCATCTGGACACGTTCTTAAGCAATGTGCTTTAAGTGATGCTGCTTGAGCAGGAGGGTGGAATGGATGACCCCAGGTGGCCCCTTCCAGCCTCAACCGTTCTGTGATTCTGTACTTCCAACAGTGCTACTTCCTTCATGTGGTGTACTAATGCTTTCTTTCTTGTTTCTTTTTTTTTGTTTTTTTTTTTTTTTTTGTTAAGTTTTAGATGATAAATGATACATTCTCTGTTACAGGTCTTCACTTGTGAAGATATTTTCAGTTGTGATCAAAGTCACATGATTTCCTCTCAGATAAAACTAATGTGCATCAATTTATTTAGAAACTGAGAATTTGTTTGAATATGGGCAATGGAACATGCTTCTTGGGTGCATTCAGAGATTGCAGTAAGTGAATAATGGTGAAAAATGAGTTCTGTAAGTAAGTCATGAATGGGTTGGAATGTGGTTAGCTACAAAGAAATAAAATACTGTGTAAGTTATGATGTGCATATAACTTTATTTTTAAAATGTGAATTGATTTCTTGCAGTAGGGGTAATGGAATGTAGCCAGAGATTTTTCATAATTTTCAACAACTTCTAATTAGTGAATCAATTATGAGAATACATGTATTGGCTTGATGGTACACAGTTATGCAGTGGGAAAAACTAGTGTGATTATAGGATATTGAAAACTCGGGAAATATAGTAAGAGCAAGTAGTGGCATAAGAATCTACCCAACCTGGAAAATATTATTACTTGTGCTTAACTACTGTGATTGGAATAATTAGTTTAAGATTCTATATAATATTTATATATATTCTATAATAATAGTCTGGGGTTACGGACTCCAGTTTAGAAAGGTAGGGAGAAATAAAAAACTGAATAAAGCAATAGTTAGTGAAGAAAATGTGGGAAAAGTTTTATATTGCATAAATGGCTTATACTTTAAAGAAAAATGTGGGTTTAGTTTTGATAAAGCCTGACCAATAAGAATCATTTTCAAGTCACTGTGGAGTGGCTTTACTGCTGTAAATAATCCTGTTGGCCACATCCCAGTACAGTGCAGATGAGAAGAGGATGAAGGAAATTCTGTTGTTTACATATGTGTCTGTAACACTGAAAAGCAAGAGGAGCCCAGCAAACTCGGAGGGTAAGGGCTCTTAAGCATGTGGGTTTGCTGTTTAATTTTTATATTTCTCTTTAGAGACAGAGTATGAGTGACTATAATGCTGATGATAAGAAGGAAAACAATCTGAAATATCCAGCAAAACTATTGAAGATCAGAAAACAGTATTTGAAATACATGGCTAAGTCAGATTTAGCTATATTTTTCTCATCTATCCTTTTCACTACTGTCAGGGAGTATTACTTCTAACACCCTATTAAATGTAGCTTGTTTTTCAGATGTAGTAGGACCTTTACTTACCATAATCAGGTAAGTTTTCAAAATCTTCACGTGGCAGTTTGTTAAATTATTATTTCTTATTTTTTATTTAGAAATTAGTATAAGTGCAGAAAGTTCAAGGATTATACTGTTTCAATACCGAAAAGCTTTTATAAAGCACAGTAATATGCAATAGGATAAACTGATAAAACATTCATAACTTTTAATCATTATTGGTATTATGAACATGTATCATGAGAATATTGTTATGAGTTTGCAGCAGTTCATATTGCATTTTTTTTGTTTGTTTTCACAGTGTTTCTATTTTTATAAATTACACTAGTGAGTTGTATAATCCTAACTTCCTTCAGAAAATACCTGATGATAGAATAAGAAAAAAGAGTGTTAGCTATATGATATTTAATTTATGGATACTATGACTTGTTAATGCTGGGCAAAGATATATAGTTTGCATTATTTGAGAGGCAAATATCCCAGATGATATGAGACTTTGTTGATGATCCATTCCTAATGAGAACCAAGGGACAAATTTCAAAAGTAATGTTGATGAGTTTAATAAATGTATATAACAAGTAGTATTAATAGACCTCCTACTGACTATCCAGATAGCTGCATTTTGTCTTAATTCTCACTGATTCTTTTTTGCTAGAAATCTAGATTTTGGTTTCGATTACCTATGTTAGAAAATTCACATTCTTTCAAGTTTGTGAATACAATTCTTTGGATAATATAATAAAGATAAAAGGATTTCTGTAATCTATTTGGTATAATTAATAGAAGTAGTCGCATCTCTCTGTCAGGTACCCTCTGCAGAGGATTCTGTGAAAAACTTAGTGAAAAATGTGAAATTAAGAAGTCTGTCATTTTTATGTATTTACATGTATTTACATGTATTTACAATGGTAACCTCTAATAAATTATTAGAAAATGAAAAATCTAAAGAAGCTGGTATTGAACAGCCATTATACACTGTAATTGACTGCAGCACCAAGAGGTTTATATCTCAGAATCATTTGAAATGTACAAATTAGATATTCTCCTAGTTGACACTTCTGTGGGTTGACGAGACTAGTAAATGTTACCCACTTCCATTCTGTCTGAAAAACAATATTCAAAACAAAGTATGCCAAAGGAGCCTGCGTGAGTAACCAGTGCTTATTAATTTCTTCTCTTTTGGTGGGACTACTTGATGGCCTACTGTAGACACTGAGAAAATAAATAGCTATGCTTCTTTATGCATTTAAATACCATCTAGACTACAGCACATGGTAATTTGTGGATTATTTCATATGGCCACCCTAGGAACTGTAGAGCCATGGCTTATGTGACACTGTGAATTATTTCTTAAGTAGATTTCCCTCAAAGAAGACTTAGTGGAGTTGGAGTCATCACCAGATGCTATCTTATATCATTAAAACCCACAAAGGAGTCCTTGGACTATTGAAAGACACGAGATGGTGCTAAAATACTGCAGTGGCTAAGGGCAATAGAGAATAATTGCATACAAATGTCCAAGAAGTCCTTTTTCTTTTTTCTTTATACTTTTTTTTTTTTTTAAGAATAGTCATTAATTATGGAAGAAATTACTTCTAAAACTATTCTGATAAAGCTGATCGTGTCTTTGCGCAACTAACTCATGAATTCTGATACAATTGTATCAAAGTGGTCAAACAAGCCAAAGAGATAGGCTCTGCTCCAGAGAAAACAAAGTATTAGTGAGCATTCTTACTTGTCTGCTTATATGGGTGGGAAAATCACTTCTTTCGAGATTGACGCTGAGTAGCGTTTTGAAGAAAAATTGTTCTGTGTCCAAAAAAGCCTTGGAATGTTTCATGGTCTGAAACAATGCATCAGATATCTGTGATTAGTTTTCCCTACTCCCAGTATTATGAAATCGCTTTTGAAAGTAGGTCAAGTTTTCATTAGAAAAAGATTACAAATGGTTTCAACTATAACAAGACAATTCTTAATCTCTTATATCATAAAATTTCAGAATTTGTCAGACTATAAACAGGGATTAAAAACTTGACTTTTTTTTCAGGGACATGCCTTTATATCTTCACATATTGAAAACAAAATAAAAAAAGGTCTCAATGTTGTTTTGTTACTAAGCAAAACAAGCCTGTAAATGAAAGTGAAGCTGTCCAGTTTAAAGTAACATTCAAAAAAGTTGTCAGAAATTTGGTATAAACTCTAGAATATAAAATTTTCATGATTTTTGTTTAAGCAGTGAAGCTTCTCTATACATTTAAGTGACCCCGACTCTTTGGATAGACAGGTATTAGAATTGTATCTAACCTAATTCTTGATCAGTAAAGTGCTTTTCAGAATTAATAAAGAAGTCTGTTTTCAGTTGCCTTTTCCAACTTCCTTTTGAAACTGAAGGAAGCTCGGCTGACCTTATCTATAACCCAATGTGAAAAACGTGGGGGGAGGAGGAACAGAGTGGGGGACCAAACGTAAAAAAACCCTAAACCCACAGATCTTTGAAGTGCTCAGTGCCATTCGGGAGTAGCTGAGCATCTCATATTTTGGCTATACCAAATAAGAACTTATGGAGGCTCTCACAAAGAGATTAATTCGGGTTTTAAAATAAATAAATTAAAAAAAAAATTAAATAGTAGCATGCTAATGTTAGCAGTGGCTGGAAAAAGGTATTTGTTTTGAATAGTGTCCTGTAAGCTTATTTAAAGCTTACTTGCAAATATTTATGTTTCATATATCTTAAATTGATTAACAAATACCCTGGATAAACAGCGAATGAAATGATTTTGGCTTTCTCTTTTTCATTGACTTGTAACTTACAACTGGCTTAAATGCTTGCAAATTTTAAGAAAGACTTCTAAAATCATTTATGAGCGACATGCTCAATGGTAGATCTAATCTTTTGGATGATGTATGTCTTGGGTATTATTCCCATACTTTTCCTTCTTTCCAGAAAAAGTTCAGAGCAAATCTGTGAAAGGCATTCTTCTGTGTCATGTTAAAGGACTTTCTGTCAGTATAAGCAAGGTAACACGTGTGTACTGGCTGAGCTGCATATCCTATATTTGCACACTGACAGCTCTGATTGCGTGGAGTCTCTTGAGAAATTCTGTTGTTGATTGACAACAGGTTCAGTTGCAATTTGGCTGATCAGTGTAAGAACCTACCTGCTTAACCTACATATCTCCAATAAAGGGGTTATGACACCTTTAGCGCTGATGTTCATTTCAACGTGCAGTAAAAAACATTGGTCATATTAAACACACTAACTTCCTCTGCTTTCTGTGGAAATGGAAGAGGAAGACTCATGCACCTGGTTACTCTTTACCTCAGCTGTGGAACTGCTGGGGAAAAAAAAAAAAATCAGAAACAATTTTAATGTAATTAAGATGAAATCTCACTGTGTCTGAAGAACAAGATGCCTCGGTGCTTTCAGAAATCGCATGAAGTGTTAATTGGCATCTTTACCCATAAGCACTGAAAAAAGATAGTATTTCAGTATACTGAGCTGATATTAACTAATGTGAAACCTATTCTTCTGAAGCAATTACCTGTTTTAATTTTGAAAGCAAGTTACTATTGTTCTAAAAAAAAATCTATGCTATGCAGGAGATGCCTGTTAGGCCAGACCTTTAACTGATAGGAATTCGTTTGTATGAATTAACGTTGCCTTAGTTTAAATACACTCTGAATTTGTTATGAAGTTATTATTCATAGCTTGTCTTTCCTAAAAATAGTGCAGAGCGTCATTCAGAAAATAAAGGTAGATTATCAATATCCACATAAAATCAATGAGATGAGATTAGAACTCATGTAAGTTGGCTACTTGTTTAGTCCAGAAGTTTACACTGGGTTTTATAAACCTGTTTGTATGGTGTATAACCTGTAAAGATCTAAAACTTTGACTGTTGATACTTATCCTAATTACCTAGGAAGTTGATTTTGCTTCTTTTTTTTTTTGCATTGATCATATCCTAATAAAAGTGATAGACAACATCAAAGAAGAACAAACCAGGCAAACTGTTGTGTCTCATAAACCACAGCTAGCTAGTTAAATTGAGTTAAGCTTGTCTTGACTTCTGCTTAATACTTAGTTCTGTTTGAGACTCTCTGGGAAAGTTCACTTCACACACACTCCCCTCCCCCCTGCATGATCTGATTATAAAACTTTTTTTTCTTCAGGTGTGTTGGCTGAGAAATGAGTATCAATTCTATAGATTCAAATGTATGAAAATTATGGTTGATGCATTATGAACGTTTGTAATCAAACAAAACATTATTGGGGAAAATAAGTTGCTGTAAATTTTACTTAAGACAGTACTTCAGAGCTTCATTTGGCCTTATGGGTAGTAAATAACAACATCTGTATGTACAAATATTTGTTACACATATTTAACCCTAAGTATTTGAATACAGTGTCAGACATGTGAGAAACCATCAGATTCTCTATGCAAAAGAATTTTAGAAGATACTGCAATGATATGCAATGACTTGTGTTAACCAGTAGACCTAAATCACAATAAATACATAAGTAGTAACCAAACTGCTTAGAGCTTATTGGAAGTGGCAGCCAAAAAAAAAAAGCAAAAAAGAGTAGAATTTGTTTCTTTTTGAATTTATTGTAATCTGTGGCTACCTTCCAAGTTATCTTTTTTTTTTTTTTTTATGAATGTGTATAAGGGTAAACTGACAATGCAACTGGTGTGACTAGATTGAGGCCACTTAGGGCTGCTTCATGTTTCATTTTGTGTAATGCTAAA